GCAACCACATGTGACGGACCCCGGGCTGGACTCCGCTTTGTCCACGGTGAAAGTTGATGTATTCCCTCAGCGACCAGCACAGATCAGCTCTAGGCATGACGAAGCAGATATCGTCCTCTTTTGGAAGACCAAACATAGTAGTTTCGCTTTCACAACGAAGCACACAGCGTCTTCACGACATGGCTGCAACATCAAAAATACTACAGTGAGAATAAAAGTTACCCCTTCATTCTTTGCGTGAACATTTGGGCGGCGTTATGCAAATCTTCCCACATAGCGACGTAGATATGTGGGGGCGTGTTAGAACGAGCCGTTTTAGGTAGGTGTGGCTGACTTTGAACTTTTATAAAGAATATCTCTTTGGATTTGAGACTTTAGTCTTTGCAACTTTACAGATCATCTTTATGCACCAAGACCTTGTAACACTCCAAAGAGAAAGGAAAAATTTAAATCGCATCATATGACCCCTTTAATACACAAATCGTTTGACTTTGAAGTTCCTTATTTTTGTGCAATTTCCAAACTTTTTCCAGTGGATTTCGACAATTTGTCTTCAAGGGATAGTCCACCGAAAAATGAAATCTGTATCATGATTTACTCACCCTCATGAAGAAAATATGATTTTGAAAAATGCCTCCGTGTTTGCTGATCATTTAATGAGTTCAGTGTCCATTGACTTTCATTGTATGATCAAAGACAGTATCATCTTCTTTTTGTATTCCACATTAGGGCTGGGTATTGATTCAGATGTTTCGATTAGATTTCGATTTGCAAGCTCTCGATTCGATACAATTCTCGATTTTTTTAATTACGTTCAGTGAATATAGTTTTAATACAAAATGCTATTGATATTTCTAAAAAATTTACAGTAAACATCAGTTTACAAATGGTGAAATAATAAAAAGAAATTAAGAACCACATGCCTGTATTTTAAATCTATTATTTTTTTATTCCTTTTTTAAACAATAATAGGGCCCTATAAAATGTTCTTAATTTTTCTGGTAATCAGATGAAGGCATAAAACATTAATTTAATTTATTCTAATCAAATGAAAATTAAACCCTTTTATTTTTTGGCAAACAAAGTGCTGCACAACAGAGGTTTACTGTTAAAATTAAAAAGAAAACAGATGTGATTATTCCTTTAAAAATACATATTCATATTTATTAGCAGTAGTAGCATTGATTCTTAAGACTGCTAAGTAGTAATATATTCTGACAGTTTCTTAACGTTAAACTAAACTTTTATTTTGACGGATTGCCGTGAAGAACTTCCAGCTGCTGTGTATGTGATACGACGGTAGATTTCTCAAATGAAACGGTAAAATGCTAATAAGTGACTCTCAGAGCAGCTGGAGATGACATTCGTGTTAATATCATCATATAGTGAGACGGCAGAAGCTGAAAACACCGCGAGCGTCATCCGCGCTTTAGTATGTGTACAAAACAGTGCGCCGCGCCATCCGCCATTCATTCATTGCGTTGTAACATCGCACAAGGTAAATAAGGGTGAAATCTAACGTTAGTGGAGAAGACTAATGATAAGATTCACGTTAATCAGATCTTATTTTAAATGTGTGCTGAAATAAATACTGGAAAAGATCGATTCGCGGCTTTTGAGAATCGATATCGAATCGACGTCATTTAAAAAAACAATTAATTGAAAAATCAATTTTATTTTTTTTGCCCAGCCCTACACATAGTAAAATCTGGATGAAATATACCTTTAATTTGTATTTAATCCATTCATTTAATAAACTACAACCATAACTAGAGCTCTTACTAAATATGCAATGAACATATATAGAGTGTCTCAAGTATTCAGGCATCGATATCTGAAGGCTTATGATTTTGACATTACACTCACTGCGCTGATGGTTGCATCACTTACTAACTTTCTTACAGTAAACGGCTACAATTTCTTGGCAACAAACTGGCTCTCTCGGTCTTTTTCCATATCTCTCGTCTTCTGTCATTCCTCTCTGATCTATCTTCTCATATTTCATAGGTGGGTTTTCGTGAACACCCGAGATGTGACAAAGACGCACTTAACCAAAAAAAAAATCCACCGCATGATTCAGCCAGTTAAGTCTGCAAAAAAATAAGTGTTATCAGACACACTAATTAGTTATACAGTAAGTCAATTAGGCGTGTGTAAAAAAAGTAGCGTAAACCAGTTTAGGTTGTTCAAAGAAACCAAAGTACAGTATTAAAAATGTAGCATGTGTGTTTAAAACGCTTTAGGCGCAGAAATGTTGGAGCACTTTTTCAAATGGAGAGATTTGTCTTAAGGACGAGTTAAAAATAAATGATGCATATAATTTCCCTCTCTTCTCCTCTCGGGTTCATGACTACATATTCCCCACATTAGCATCGCCTCCAGGATTCAAGGTTCCGGACATTCTAAAACGTATGTATGTGGATGTGTCTGTGTCTGTGTGTACGCCGGGATGTGTGTCTGTTTTAGCACCTTTCAAACAGCCAAATCGTGGCGTATGTGAGAAGGTGACATGGGGCATAACTGCACCTCTGCAGCTGTGGAGCCACACCTGCCTACTACATCTTGCACCTTCACACATCTCTTCTGGTTGGCAGGCAGCAGGCAAGCTGCCTCTGAGACACATCAGCACAGCACGCTCAATAACCCAGCAAGCAACCAAAGTACAAAAACTTTCAAGTTCAGCAAATGCTTTATAATAGGCCCATTAATATGGCAAAAGAAGTGATTGACAGTATTATTTAATTTCCAAATATGTCATTTGATTATTTAAATGTAATTGTTCATTTTATTTTTTGGACAATTTTTGGGGATTGTCATGTTGCACTCCAGGTTCAAACCAGCATTTCCAACTTGTGCGTTGTAGTGAAAAAATATTTTCAGTTATTTTTTTTTTATTGTTACATTAATCACATTTTTTGTATAAGAATACATTGCCGTTTAAAAGTTGGGTCATTACGTTTTTTTGGTTATTTGAAAGAACTCATATTTAGCAAGGATACATTACCTTCATCATGAGTGGCCGTAAAGACATTGTTACAAAATATGATAAGAAATGTTTTTTGAGCAACAATTCAGCATATTAGAATGATTTCTGAAGCATCATGTGACACTGAAGACTGGAGTAATTAGGCTTTGCCATCACAGGAGTAAACTGCATTTATAAACATTAAAATATCAAACAGTTACTTTAAATAGTATTAATATTTCACAATATATTACAAATAAATGCATTGCAGCCTTGGTGAGCACAGCATATTAGAATGATTTCTGAAGCATCATGTGACACTGAAGACTGGAGTAATTAGGCTTTGCCATCACAGGAGTAAATTACATTTTAGAATATAATCAACTAGAAAACAGTTATTTTAAATTGTAATAATATTTGACTGTGTTTTAGAGTATTTTTGATCAAATAAATGCAGCCATGGTGAGACTTCTTTCAAAAACATTTTTAAAAATCTTACTGACCCTAGGGCTGCACGATTATGACAAAAATCATAATTGCCGATTATTCCTTTGACATTGTAATTGCGATTATTAATTTGCGATTAAATGAATGATGTTTACACCTTTGTTTGAAGCAACTGCATGGCATATTTTTATATGAAAATAAACAAGCTGAAAACACTAACTGAAAAACTTTTATTGCTTTTCTATAGTATTAAGCCTCAAATGTCAACTATACATCAGATTGGGTTCTCTTTAAATAAAAAGGTAAAAACATGCATGGTATTATAATGTTATACTAAAAATAAAATTAAAACAATGGAAAAACCCTTAAGATAACATGTCGAAAGAAAAAAAAAAGCATCTTAAGCACGCAGAATAACATGTGAACTTTGAACGATTAATTGCTGCTTTGAACGATTACGTAATTGTGGCATCCGTAATTTTAATTGCGATTAGAAATTCGATTCATTGTGCAGCCCTAACTGACCCCCAACTTTTGAACTCAGTGATGACCATCAAATACTGTTTTAGTATTACTCAATGATAATGCTGTACCTGCACAGAGTTGAGCCTGCAGTAGCCATTCAGTGGAAAGCGAATAACGTGGGTTGGATCCTGGTTCCAGCCGGCGTTGACTGAATTGCACATGACGTCCCCTGTCTCTGGGAAAATTTCCTCTATGAGGGCCTTGTCCCCACTGATGGCAATCCTCTCGCCCAGGTCAGGGGTCACCCGCACCACCAGGCACTCGCAGGGCTGAGCCGCCCGCCGCTGCTCCCGGTCCTGTTTCCAGCGCTCCAGCTCTTTCACCATGGGCGTCAGCTGGTAATACCGAGCTTCCTCATACAGCAGCTGGAACTCCTGCAGGAACAACACATGGAAGTGAATGTATGCACGGAAAGAAACAAACAAACAAATAGGGATGCACGATATATCGGCCACCATATCGGTATCGGCCCATATCGGCTCATTTTTTCTGTTATCGGTATCGGCCTGATAAGAAAATTTGGCCGATATCTTAAAGCCGATAAATAATGCATTATTTCCTTCAGAGACACTTCAGATGCGCGCTGTTCGTTTGCAGCCTTTTGTGCAATTGTACATTGTAATATTGTGTTTATTTGATGTATATCTGATTTATCTCATATAGAATGCGTTTGGTTAAGTTAAAAGAGCTTCAGTTTACCGGTGATCGTCTTTAGCTCAGCGCACGCAGCTCAAACAGCAGTGCACAACATTAATAACTATGATTGGGAATGTCGTGTATATAACATTCTAATGAGAACATTATTATAATAAAACGTTGTGAATTCTTTGGGTTTAGTTGCCGTGTTTCAGCGCGTTGTTATGGGAAGAGCGCATCCACAACAGGATCACACATTCTGACTATAGCATGCAATAACTGCGTCATTTGTCATTTCATATATAAGTTGTAATATTATGTTTATGTTGTATTAATATTAATCTCAGGATGCATTTCCTTGAGTTAAATAAGCTGCCAGCAAAACGCTTCAGTTTACCGTGTTCATTCAGCTCTTCAGCTTCAGCTTGAGCTGCAGCTCAATGGCTGCTATTTAAAACAGTGGTATTAATTTGTTACTTTTTCAAAATCATTGATATATTATTAATAACAACAACCACTTGTATTTTTCTCTTATTATTTTCATCAACAATATGGTTTAGTAATTAAAATCATTTAATTATTGTCCGTGCAGAGGCTATTCCGTTTTATTGATCTGTGGCGCATTCATTTTGATTCTTTACATGTGTAATGATGTCCAGTGACTTGTTTGCATTATTTATGCATAATTTTATTTATTTGTAAGGCTTTTTTATGACTAAATTTGGTAATGGGAGAGTAAAAATATTTTTAAAACGTACACCGTTCAAACTAGGCTGCTTATGTTGAAGTGTTTGGGATGTGGCTTTTAATGATGAGACCTTTTTTGTAATCAGGCTCTCAAAAAGTATATAACAATTTGGATATAGATTTATCGGCCAACATATCGGTTATCGGCTTTCAAAAATAAAGAATAATCGGTTATCGGTATTGGCCAAAATTTTCATATCGGTGCATCCCTACAAACAAATAATCCATCCAGCAAATGATTGAAGGAGCGGACAAAAAAAAAAAAGTACAAACACATGAATGAGCTAACAATACAACAACTCGCTGAGCAAATGAACAAACAAATGGATGAACAAATAAGAAAACACAAATGTACAAAGTAATGACTGAACAAACGGAAAATTTACCAGCTATTGAGTGAATGAATGAAAAAGCAGACCAAAAATGCTCAAACAAACAAACAAATGACTGAAAAACAACCCACTGAGCAAATGTCCCAAGGACATAAACAAACCACCAAGTTAGCAAACAAATGAGCAAACACCACCAAGTGAGAGAACAAATGAGCAAGCAAACAAACCACCAAGATAGTGAACGAATGAACAAACAAACCACTAAGTGAGTGAATGGATGAGCAAACGAACAAACCACAAAGTGAGAGAACGAATGAGCAAACAAACCATCCACAAAGTGAACAAATGAGCAAACAAACCACCAAGTGAGCGAACAAGTGAGCAAAAACCACCAAGTGAGTGAACGAATGAGCAAGCAAACAAACCATCAAGTGAGCAAACGAATGGCCTTACAAATAAAGAAACAAATGCACAAACATCCCATTAACCAAAGGAATGACCGAGCGAGCAAACCACCAAGAGAAAGAATAGAAACAAACAAATAATTGACTAGTTATTTTCCATCACTATAAAGATATTTTTAGATTTAAATTCTCCACTAGGAAAGACATGATGGACTTATAATATCAGAAAATTACAGAAGAAATTCAATACCACATGATGACTGAATATTGCATGTTTCAAAGCACATGTTGTTTAGCATTGAGCATGAACCCAGACCAACACATGGAGCAATTGTGCCCATCTGACCCGTCTTTAGCCAGGACAGGGCGAGGGGTGGGGTGGGGGGGGTTAAGAGCCCCCCGGCTCTCCCCTCACTCACAGACTCTCTGGTCGGACAGCACAGATTGCTGCCTCTGCCTGAGGCGTCCTTTACCCTCCAGCACATTTACCCCACTTACACTAGCCTTTCATTCACTAAGCCAGATGGCAACATGCCTCAGTCCTGCCATTACAAACACTGCAAAAATGAAAATATTTCCATTTTTCCATGTAAACATGGTGGTATAGGCATATATCGAGGAAAATTAATGATAAACCAAAGTTAGTGGTGTTACCACTTGTGTAATACTGCATGAACAGATTTTATTTAGCAATTCAAGCTTTTCTTATCTTCACAAGAAAATAATCTAAGTATGAAACCCTCATGTTCTGTTGATACTTGCTCTGTTTTTACATTTTAAAATAATAATTCAAATTATAGGCTATATATAGGGTTAATTCGGGTTAACCTGAACATTTTTCCCAGTCATATCAATGCCAAAAAATGTCCCACTTTACATGAATTCAATCTAACTATATTATTAAATAAAGTGAAACTAAAACCATAAAAAAACATTTCTGTTACTTGAAACAAAATAAGTGTTAAATGAAACAAAATAAAATATAAACAATTACAGTTAGTTGCCAAGGTAATGTTTCTCATTTTTGTTTAGTTTATCTTGAGGTACTAAAATAACTAAAACTAAAAATGAATAAAAACATATTTTTAAAAAAACTATTAAATATGACAAAACACACAAAAAAAATAATAATATATAATACATTATTTAAAAAAACTTTAGGGTGGGGATAATAATGATGAGATTATATATACAAATAATACATAAACTCTTTTAATTAGTTCCTTTGACCTATTTAAAGCTCAATAAAATGAAAGCTTCTTATATAATATTAATATTTGTATATGGTTTGATATTATTAAAGCAAACATTTTCAAGGGGGGGAAAAATTCTGAAAATCTTTCAAATTGCGTGAAATATACCTGGGGTCTTGAGACCCCAAACAGTGAGGTACATTTTTTCATGCAGGATGTTTGATGAATGTTATCAAGTTCAAATTTTGCCAGTTCTCATTGGATTAGGAAAAGTCATGAAGCGTTAACCTGATACTTCAATGTTAATGTTTTCCGAGATATTAAAAGGGCCTTGGGGTCTCTCAGACCCCAAACACGAGGCCTGAAAGCCATTTCTGCTCAAAACTCTGACAGCATTCTTGGGTTCTGCGCCTGGAGGCCGTGAGAGAGCGCTGTGATCTCGACCCTGCTGGCTCTTCATCCCCACCCTGTAAGACTACTCATTCCACTGCAGGCTACGCCACGGAGAACAATAGCACCGACCATCTCAGACACAACGCTCTTTTACAATTACCACAAGAAAAGGAGTTGTTTTCTTACCCACACCCCTCCCTCATCCTCTCTTCTTTCTCTCCCTCTTTATTCCCTATGTTCCTTGCTTTAGCCCATACTGGTGCTGACAACATGGATACAGAGACTTTAGGCCTTCGGGCTCTTGCTAATTCAAAGAAAAACAAGCTGCGCTTCTTTCCCAGGTCTGCAGCGAAGGCTGGGTATGTTTTAACAGGGCTCCTTCTGTGACTCACTTTTGGAGAAAGAGAATGTAAAAGCAAAGGCCCACAGAAGAGCGAATTTAGTCTTTAGGCCATATCCATATGGACAAATGAAGCTGGATGCGCTGCACGGTTTTCAAGTGCAAACTCTTTTAGAAGAACAAAATGTTGTCAATTAAGCCAATAAGCGGAGTCTAATGAATTCACAGACGTAACAGACATCTGGGAGGAGACCAAACGTATCCCATCACCTCTCACAGGAGGGGCTGCTCCATCTGACAACAGGCATCATTTGCTTATGTACAGCTTCATCTGAAACGATTCAGTGGTTCTTTAGGTTCTGGATGAAAAAGAAAGGTCTATAGGCCTTAAACCCAACCGTGGCTGAACAGCGACCATATAGTAGTCGAGTTTTCCCGCTCTCGCAGGTCAAGGCATGGTGAGTTTTGAAAGGCGAAAAGTGTGAAATGTTAAGTATAATGGGATGTAATGATGTGCCTCTGTGCAGTTACATATTTTATGTTCTGTTATCAAACGGTCTCGCGCAGTGGAGGAAAGCTAGCCACGAGCCTGAGGCGCAAATGACTAGTCTCACTCTAATTAATCCCATTGACACAAATACCTTTACCCATCTGATTTTTGACTGAGACGGGCATAATACTTCACCAATTGATCTGCCGGCATTGAAGAAAAGACTCATAGCTATGTGTGCTTGAAGTCAGAAATTGCATTTCACACTATTTTGAATCCAACTTTAAACTTCACCTTAGACTTTAGGGTTCTTTCTTATTCTGTTTTTTATTTTATTATTTATTATTTTATTTCATTTTGCTATAAATGCTTGTGAATTTAAACGTTAGACTTAAGGGTTTATTTTATTTATTTATTTATTTATTTTTTACTGTAAATGTGCTTGGCATTCTCATGCCAAGTTAGAACGTTTTTTAAAACAGAATTTGAATTTCACACTATTTTGAGTCAAACTTTAAAGTTCACCTTAGACTTTAGGGTTCTTTTTATTCAGTTTTTTATTAAATTTTTTATCTTATTTTGCTATAAATGTTCGCGAATGTAAACCTTAGAATTTAGTTTTTATTTTTATGTTACTTTATTTTGTTTTGCTATAAATATGCTTGGCATTCGCAGGCCAAGTTGGAAAGTTTTCTACCGATATGCAAAGAAATGACCAAGACCAAGAGACCAAGAAAGTATATTTGAAATCAGAAATTGTACTTCGCACTATTTTGAGTCTGAATTTCCTTAGACTTTTTTCTATTCTATTTTTATTTAATTTTGCGATAACTTTATATTGCTATTTATTTTATTTAGCTATAAATGTACTTCGCCAATGTGGAAAGTTTTTTATCAATATGCCAAGATGTCTCACTTCCTGCCTGCCATCTTTGCCAGCAAAAAAGGTTAAGGAAAAATGTCATACAACAAAAATCCAATTGGTTAGGTTTGCGAAGCTTCATCTCAAGATGATCTGAGGCAGTTTTAGTGAAGACTGCAGAAACTTTGCATACAATGTCCCAAAAAATGAATACATAAATCTATTCAAAATGGTGGAAAGGCACATGACAAACCTTGGAAATTGATAACCGTAGTATTCAACAAGCATCCAGGAATATCTGAGACATAAAGCTTAAGATAATTCCAAACACATGAAAATCGAATAAAACTGCCGTGCAGTTCTGTCTGGGTCCTTTCAGCGTGTTTCAGCTCAAGGCTATCGACGTGATGCTAAAAGAGGAACTAAATCAAAGTTTTGACCTGCTGAAGAGACACTGGGTGTGTGAACGTTACCTTGAAGTCGTCAGGAAGAAGCAGTTTGCTGGTTCTCAGGTAGCTCAGGATATAGCGGAATATCTCTCCATCTCTGTCGATAAAATAATGCTGCTTCAGACTGTCCAAAACAATCGGTTCTGTGCCGTTGAACAGGCGACTGATTCTGGAGGGAAAAAATGTAAATCAATGATTTTCAATTTAAAGAAGTATTTTGTTTTAAAGTTTTATGCAAGCACTACACTACATTAAGAATGGTTTTGCTCTTATCATGTAATAATATAAAAGATATTCCCTAAAAAACTGTTTTCACTTCACATTTGGAATAAGTTGAACGGCAAATGTACAAGTTGATTATTTAACCTGATTTAACTGCTGGAATGGGGTCAAGCGTATGGAATTATGTCGTACACTATTTCTGTTCTTCGGATGAATTGATTTTATCTTTGCAAAATGTTCTTATTTCATTCTCTCATCCTATTTCATTCTTCCGTTCTTTCTTTCTCTCCCTCATTCTGGAAACCGATGCAAAACACTTAATAAGAAAACCAATTCCCCCTTTTGTGCCTCGGGTGGTCCTTTTCTCATATGGTCTTGCCGTTCCCCCAGTTAGAATTTCACCATATAGCTCTTATCATGTAATAATATAAAAGATATTCCCTAAAAAACTGTTTTCACTTCACATTTTACATTTGGAATAAGTTGAACGGCAAATGTACAAGTTGATTATTTAACCTGATTTAACTGCTGGAATGGGGTCAAGCGTATGGAATTATGTCGTACACTATTTCTGTTCTTCGGATGAATTGATTTTATCTTTGCAAAATGTTCTTATTTCATTCTCTCATCCTATTTCATTCTTCCGTTCTTTCTTTCTCTCCCTCATTCTGGAAACCGATGCAAAACACTTAATAAGAAAACCAATTCCCCCTTTTGTGCCTCGGGTGGTCCTTTTCTCATATGGTCTTGCCGTTCCCCCAGTTAGAATTTCACCATATAGCTTTAGGCAATCTTAGTTTTTCATCTCAGTCTCTCTTTTTTTTTTCTCCAAAAAGCAATTAAAATGCTGCCTGCTTTTCTCCCTCCCCCCATTTTCCACTCCTCCCTCCTTCCCATTGCTCTCTCGCTCCATATCCATTAATAAATCAGAGCGAGCCACGCTCTCTGTTAACCTGAACAGATGTGGCAAAGCTCTCACACTCTTTTCCCGTCTTGCACACACACACAAACATCTCTAACAGGTGGTGTCCCTTTACCTCACTTTATCCGCAAACCTCCGTAGATTACGGTTGGGATGGATGCAGCAGGTAGGAATTGCATGACTCTGCAAGTGGCTTTTAAGTCATTTAAAAGTAGAGCATTTTAATCTATCACTCGATCTATAAATAAATGCATTGCTAAATTGAGGAAATTTAGGTTGTTACAAAGGCAAAAATGAAGTTGGACCACAGAACTACAACATAACTTCTCACGACAGCTCAACATGACAATGACACATAGTTTAAGTCGACATCAGTCCCAGTAACCCTCCAAAAATGGTTAGCATCAAATCACAACAGGTCTTACCTGGAGTCTGGGTATTTGGTGAGGGTGGCCAGACTGCTGGTGTACATGTGCCCGCCTACGTCAATGTGGACTGGAGCGTTCGATTTAGTCAGCTGAGCCGGTAGTGGGATTCCCTGAGTGGCCAGAGGAGACACTGGGGATCGGGTCAAAGACAGCCGAGACATGCTCCTTCCCTCCTGCACAAACAGCACAGTATCAAATAAACAGCTCCTGGTTCCCCTCTCCCCTTCAATCTCCGAGATCTAAGGTGCGATTCTGGCCTGCAAGCACGCGGGAGATCACTTCTACATCTTCCCTTAAATTGCGTTTTTACCTTAAGAATTAGCACCACAAGTCTAATTAAGAAAATTTGCCTGCCGTTTTTTTTCCTCCTTTTTTCATAGAACCGGAGGGGAGAAATGGAGTGATGCTTATTAGTGAGCACGAAAGGGAGAGAGGGGGAGAAGGAGAGCAAGAGAGATAGAGGGATGGATCCTAGTACTGTAGGTGTCTACCTCCAGGGAAAGAGAGGGAAAAAGTGTAGACTCCTAATTAAAGATATTGTGAGACGCAAAACACCTCTTCACCAACAGCTTCTCAGTTCTTTAAAAGTTTCTGAGAGCAAATGAATCAACATTTTGAGTTGAAGCCAAAACTGAGGGTAAATAAGACTTGAACTCCCACAAGGTCAAATATAAAAATCTAAATGATGCTGCATCATAACAAAGTTTCAGTTAGTGCAAAAGGTTCTAAATCATGCAACATTAAGATATCTGAAGTCATTGTCCTCTCCTGAGTAATTACAGCCCTACATTAAAACCATACGGACCATGATGCTTGACTGCTACTGTGGCATGAATCGACCTTTGTTTGGAGTAACGAATAATTCTGCCTAAACAGATGGCTAAAGTCCCATTTCCAGAGGCACTATGCCTGGAGCAATGTGTGCCCATGGTGTACATCAGAGACTAGCATAGTCCTGTATAGGATGATGTATCTTGTGTTTAGCCTTAGATTTCAAATTAAATCTCAAAAATGAAATTGGTCAGCTATAGTAGGCTACTATAGTAAAGTTTTAAAATGTTATTTTTTATAAAAGACAAACAACTGAAATATTATGAGGAGTATACACACACACACACAGGATTTCTGGTCTGGGTAGAACTGCCCCACTTTTCACAATATTAAAAAATCAGTCAGTGAATCTACAAAGCCACGGCTAAAAAAACAAATGTTGTGCGTGTTAATTCGTCTGAATTGCATTTGATGAAATTAATCAATGAATCATAGCCTACATTTCTTGTAAAAATAAAACTAAAAATTTGAATCCATAAAACATTTATTTTTTGAATGTGTATTTACCCAATCATTTTGGATTGACATTGATTATCTAATATTCAAATTCACAAAATCAAAGATTCGACTATCTGGTAAAGATATATTTTTGTTACATAAAAATAAGATTTTGGAGCAAAATTTGGTGATTAACTTAATAATTATATATGGAAGATACCATATACACAAACAGAAATTGAATAATAATAAACCTAACATTATATTATTTAAAGTTGAACTTAAGCATTATATTGAGGCCCTAAAAGATGCAAGAAATAAAAAAGCAAAACGGATGTATAGAACTTTTTTTCCCCCCTGTATATATATATATATTTTTCTCTCTCTCTCTTTTATGTTCTCTTTCTGGTGTTTCCTTTGATGCTATTATGAATGTAATAGATAATAGTTGAATACATCGTGATCCTCTGTATATGTATGTTGTTATTGTTCTTGTTATGCAATAAAATAAATAAATAAGAATAAAAAAACATTTCTTGTAAAATCCGAAAAGCAAACATTCAACTATACCAGCATAATCCCCACAACGAACAATTGACTCTTATGAGCCGGTTCTTTTAATGAATCACACAAAAAGAATCAGAACTTAGAATCAGTCTGACAGAATCTGAAATTGTCATCTAAAATGAGCATTTTTATCAAGCTCCTGTGTTTAGGTTTAGTCATTTTACTCTAATGGCATGTCCTTTCCTGTGCAATTAAAGTGAAATAACTGAACATAAATATAGGAGCCTGATAAAAATGTCAAACGGCACTTTAAGAGGCTTTTGCATCTGAACTCTTCATATATAGCCTACACACACTAGGTCGGAAGCAAACGTTAAGAGTGTGAGTGAAAAATGAGATATCATCAAAGTCAGAAATAATAGTTTGTGATGTCAAAAACTGCGCCAGGTCCCCGGAGTGCGTAAAATAGCCCTACTACTCTCTGTACCGCACTTCCTGTACGCAGTAGTGCGCTGACCTCTCATTGTATAGCCTACTCAAATCAGCCCTCCCTGATCTAAACCTGCAAAAGCACGACACACTGAGAACGAACGCAACGATGCACTTGAGAAACATTCGAGAATTGGACAGAATCCACCGTACCGTTTCAAACATTTTAGGATGTCCGACGCAATCTGAGGAGGATTCTAGCAGACTGTCTCTTGTGAAGGTTGCTCGTCCTTTAGAAAGAACTTTCTCGTAATATTTTCTCGGCACTCCAAGAGCTCTTCGTACAGAATCCGGCGACAATTCCCTTCCGAATCCAGCGAAATCTAACGCCGGAGCAAACGCGGCGCTATATAGGTCGCTGTGGCTTTAAAAGCTCGCTTAAAACACAGACCATAGACTGCTATAGACACTTTCCACAAAAGCTACACAGAGGAGTCAGTCGAGGCTGCGTCCTTACCTTGGAAGACATAGCTGTAAATGTATCTTCAGCCCTCTTTAAAACATGAGATCGATCGTGGCGTGTCTTAGCCTCGCGTTTTTGCTTTCTTGCTCCTTTTTTGTTGAAGCGTGAGAGTGCGTTGAAGGCACAGCGTTCCAGCCCGAATAACAGAGGACAGCTGAACAAGAATTCTTGCTCAAGGCTCTCCAAACGCCCCGGGGCAGGATTAGGCTACAATTAGCTCAACCCTGCCTGAGCCGGGGCGAGTTACAAGAACAACATTTGATCTTGCTATTCACATTTGGAAGTATGCGTATATATGTGTTTTAATCGCATTGATCGTCATTTATGCATCTACTGAACAAAGATATGTGCATGCGCGGGGATAACGGTTTAGGTTACGTGTGTGCATGTCTTTGATTAGCCTTCAGCGAGCAAAAGAGAAACAATCTTTTGTTTTAAACGGCATTACATAGGCCTACACTGTATTATGATGTAAGAATTCTGTTCTTTTCCCCCCCCAGTCTTTTTGATTTATGTTTCTTTTCCAGACATTTCTTACAGGCTCAAAATAAAGTATCTTCTTAATTTGGTTTAATATGTTTCTCTCAGCTTTCTACTAATGTTCTGCTGGCCATGAAAACTAAATGACATATATCGATATGCATTGTGCCTCTGCAAAAGGCGCCCACACAACCGCCTCGAGCCAAACGCGCCATGTCAAGTTTTTGCGCGCGGCTAGATAGAGATGTCTGTCTTGATGGCACACAGCTTTCAGGTGGAAGACAGGCTCATTGTGTTGTGCTGAAAACACTTTTACAAAAAGCATACTTGACAGTTTTAGACCACTGTAATATTGTTCCCATTCTCCTTCAAATGCTCTGTGCCTTGACATCTGGCGGGCAGCCAAGCAACCAGTGACCAAACTAAACGCAGCTAATAAAAAGCGTTTTTACAACATTTCCAGAACGTTCTCTTAGGTAACGTAGCACGCAAACGCCAGCTGAAAAATAATGTAACTAAAATCGAATGTTTTAGTAACCTTCTGCAAATATTTAAAGGGTGAGATGCTCTCAAACAGCACATTTAGACATCAATACAACGAATGTTAATGGCGAAAATAAATATACCAAACGTAAACGACGCTTGACGCGATTTGTACATTTAAATGAAACGTTACAAAAACACATCTTATGACCTGTCCTTAAAACGCTTTTAAAGCGCAGTTGTAGTTTGTTGGGAATTCAAACTAGGAACGGAGAACAAATTATGAATTAAGATTTCCATAAATAAATAATTAGGCCTATACAGCATAGCAATAGCCTACATTTCAGTTCCATTTTTAGTTATGCAAAGGGGAAAGAGAGAACCCTGTCATTTTCTTGTCACAAATTAGAATTTTAAAATGTATTTTCCAATTACCTTCAGTAATCTTTTGGCAGCGAGCTAATGTTATCACCTTCTACATAATAGCCCACATTCTCGAGTGAAAACACTGCAAAGCAAATCTGTTTGTATACAGGAATGTGTTGCAAACTATTTGGACTTAACAACCGAATTTTTCTCGCCTTTGGCTGAAATTAGTTTCCCACATCAGACGAGCAGCAGGAAGACAAGATATTTTTGTTCAATTAAAGGAACAAGCCCGGAGTTAGTTCAATTACTTGACGCTGGAGGAAGATGTAAATTTAAAGATTTAAATAGCTTAGAATGTTGCCTCGAGCGCCTGCACTTCATTTCCTTAATTTACAGAGAGATGAGGGGAGTAATGGTTATCCCAATGATGTGCATCATGCCAACAAAACTATATATCCGAGTAACACTTCCTATCCCTGGTCTTACAGTTGAGCTTATATTCAAGCGAGTCAAATAAAACAGCCTGAAGACAGAAAAACAAAAGCTTCCTGGTAATCAATATAGCAGCTAAAGCTAAATCGAAAACTCTCACAATTCACACGAACTCATTTCGTCCCAGTGGTCCGTGGGACTTTATTAACATGAATATTAACATTGTTAATTCATAACCACTAATAGTATTTAAATTATAGTGTTAAAATTTAAATGATAGTATTTAAATTATGTAGCCGCTTATTTTTATGTAGGCTATATGTATTTCTAGTAGGATGAATTAGCCTATTACACATTCGAAGGCATGAGCAACTGTTTTGCCAAGAGAGTCAGCTGTAATACCTGTGCAAGATTCATAAATGTATAAATAAATCAGCATATTCTCTTTTGGAAGTTGTATTCAGATGATGCCCGTGTTCCTCATCAGACCACAGCGCCATCTGCTGGACGTGACTTGCTACGTCAAGCATCTCACCTTCTCACCTGAAACAACTCGCAACATTTTTTGATGGATGTTGCGTTTTGTCTACACTTCTTTTGGTAATTAGATTTTCCAGAGTCTTTTTGTAATAACTTAATTTGTAAAAGTTAGTTCAGAGCTTATTCTCTTGCCTCCAGCTCCTTCCATTCCAAAACCCAATCATACGGAAAGACTAATTTTTCTCTTACCCCTCTCCTTTTTAAATATGATTTTGGTGCTGAAGAAAGAAAAATGAGGATTTTCTTTGTTCTGTCTTCCACGTGACAAATGGTAGCTGATTTGATGTGCCCTTTGAGTCTGTAGATTGTGAGAGAGAACAGGATGTCAAAGCCCCAGGCCCTGTGAGATAAGGAGGGGGTAACGAGGGGGTGGAGCTAAAAAAGCCGCAGTTGCTCCAGGCGGCAGAGGACTTATTGGAGTGGGAGGACAAGATGTAAAGATCAACAGCAGTTTTGACTGCTGCAAAAGGGGGGTTGGGTTGCTGCTTTTGTTTCCAAAACTGGGGTAAAGTAGCAGAAAAATAATAACACTATATATTCATATATATATATGTGTGTGTGTGTGTGTGTACTTTTATAATCTTAATTGTACATATATTTTGATGCTTATGATAGAAAAAAATATGATCCATTACACAACAATCAGCCTAGAAACAAGACGAACACAGCTACAATATGACCGTGATATTAATACTTACATCCTCTAAGGTCCATTTCACTACAGTTCACTTCGCAAGATGACGCCAGCTGCGTTTGTGTGAAACGGAGTGATGAGTCCTGAAGGTAGCGTCGGTTTCATTATTATATATTAGGACATTTCAGGCCGCCGAATGGCACAACTGACCAATCAGAAGTAAGCATTCCTGAGCGCCCTGTAGTAATATGATACATTACTTCCACTTTATTTTTTAAATCATAAGGTCATTTTTAACTTGAATGTGCGAGGCTTCCGGTGTCATCAACTTCCAGTTATTTTAGCGGCAAAAACTGTCCATTATGCTGCTTGATTTTACAAGCTGGTAGGCTATTTCTTATTATTTTTAATTTATCATAATAATTATAAATACACTGGTCTGTTGCGTAAATACTTTTACCGTTTACTGCACTTTGTTATTCTTCTGGTTACTTATCATTAGCGGCTAAAGATTCACAGGAAATAACTTACTTCCGCAATGAAAAATAAGTTGGATAACAATCAAAAATATGTTACTAACCTTCAAACAAAGGGTGAAAGATGAGAGGATGTGATGAGTTTACTGTACACCTCTACTAGTGACTGAGGCCTAGAGATGACTGGAATTTTGATACAATGTCATTATAACAATAAAGAAGGTAATCGCGCAGAGATGTCATCTAACTAACATTAAAATATTGTGCTTACATTTATTAATATACAGAAAACGTCATAATATGAGAAATGTGAAAGTAAGGCAAAGGTGTAGAAGGTCATGCTCTAATACATGACACACTGTAGACAAATAGTTTTTTATAAATTCACAAAAAATGAGATTTTACCATTACCAGTCCAGATGTACCACACTAAATCCAGCAATGATCTGTCTCGTTGTTGAAAATGTTTCGCAATGTTATATTGAGCAGTGATACTCATAGCTGGACACTTTCCTTCAACACTAATATAAATTACATTATGATAACTTTTAGACACTCTTAGTACAGTCTATTCATTCTTGGCAGTCTGAGAAAACAAATCACACACAACAAAGGGACAGTTTGCCCAAAAATGAAAATTCTGACATCATTTACTCACCTTCACAGCAGAAGATATTCTGAAAAATGTATTTTGTTTTTGTCTACCATTGTTTTGGACCATATTGACTTTCGTTGTTTTTACAAAAACAGCTGAAACATTCTTCAAAATAATTTGTTATTTGTTCACACAGGTTTGAAACGACATGAAGAGTGAGTAAATTGTCAATTTTTTATTTTTGGGGCAGATTATCCCATTAAGAGGTTTCTTACTGAATAGAATTGAATATGTTTTGTAAATAACAAGATAAATGCAAGGACCAGCCTGCAGAGATAAGTACATAATGTGAGTAATATTTCACATTGAAATTTGCTATCAAATAAACAATGACATTTGACAGTAATAAAATAACCTCACTAGGACAAAATGTGACCATCAGGCCAACAGAAAGTTCATTAGACTACCGTAAAAGCCTCAGTATAAATCTTTAAACGGTTTGGAGTAGTTGAACATCAGATAGTCCATGTAGTAAAAGTCATACGCCCTTTGTCTCTCCGTCACATTTAGTTGTGCAAAATATCCCCTTGTGATATCCAAAGATGTCCTTTCTGCATTAGGGTTCCTGTCTTTAAAACTAGGGAATGTTAAATTGCTAGGAGCTCCGATACTTCTCAAAAGGAAATTGGCTTCTTCCTCCAGAGTCTCAAATTTCCCAATGAAATCATAGTCCAGCAAGCAGGGGCTGCAAAGATGTCCTACGGGCTCCCAGTGGATGTCCATGCCAACCGGCCGATGCACATCTAACAGATACTGGATGAATTCCTTGAAGGTCACGCCCGCTCCCGTGCGCAAGGCGTACTGCGTCGCATTGCTGCGGTATTTCGATATGATGGGCTTCCCGAACACGGGGTGGTAGTACGAGTTTGGACTTTCGAACTTGTCCCGAAAAGCAGACACTAACCTTTCGAAAGGTTCCCTCAGGAAGAGGACTTTGGTGTAGGTCTTCAGACGACGAATGATGCCATTTTGATCGAACGAGTCAAGACGCTTGAGATGATTCCCATAATGCACCTCGTCATGTTTGATCTCTCCAGTGGAAGAAGCGAGACCTTGAAGCACCATGAGCACCCTCTTCCAGTTGGAGCAGCCCGCCTTGGGCACCTCACAGTAGAGGAGTTTGTGCTTGTCCTCCACAAAGATACGGGACACATGCATGCGGGTTATAGTCTGTTTGGTGGTTCCACTTGTGTATTTGGCACAGACCTCCCTCATCAGCCTCTGACGGGACAGCTGCACCTTAGTCAATCGCTCTGGGTTCTCCTTGATCTGGCCAGGAGGGTCAGCGTTCAGCTGCTGGACAAGCAGGCTGCTCTTAAGGAGGAGTTTACGGTGGCTCTTTGTGACATGGGCAGCAGTGATATCTTTGGGGTTGATTAGAGAGGAACGCTGGACCCATGGGAAGACTGGAAGCTGCACCGGTTGTGCAGGTCTAGGAAAGTTGTCTCCTGTTGGATCAGACTGTCTGTCATTGTCAGGACAATAAGGACACGGTTCCTGTAATTTAGAGAACAAAAGTACTTTTAGCAACAATAATAGTGTTTCTTCAAATTCAGGCACACCCTTGTGAAAAAGAAGTGTGCTCAATTGTATTAAATGTGCACTATAGTAAAAAATGCTGGGTTCTTTTTTTAACCCAAATGCTGGATTCAGCCTGTTGGGTTTTTTTTACCCAGGTGCTGGGTATTTTTTCTGCACACTAAAAAAAATTAGTAATTTTTTTTTTTTTTTTAACCCAAATGCTGGGTTCAGCTTGGTGGGTCATTTTATTGGGTTATTTAAAAAATAATAATTGTACCCATGTGATGGGTAGTTCCAAGCTGCTGCGTCCTTTTTAATGCTGGGTTATTTTTTCTAGCCAACCGCTGGGTTGAGCCTGTCTCCAACGAAACAACCCAGCTGCTGAGTAACAGTCAGATCGCGGGCTTTTTGAGTCCTCTAAAGGAGAAAGCGGTTCTCAGCACCGCCACCGCCGATTTGGTGCACTTCTTCAGTGAAATAAAGGTTTGTATACATTTTATTTCATTTATAAAGTCTTTACTGTGCTGTAAATTATATTATATTACGCTACACAACATAAGGACGAGATGTCAGTCAGATGTGTCAGCAGTGGTCATTTCGCATGATGGAAATGCCTTTTGCCTTGCATAACATTAACTGATTTCCAGACGACGAATGATGCCATTTTGATCGAACGAGTCAAGACGCTTGAGATGATTCCCATAATGCACCTCGTCATGTTTGATCTCTCCAGTGGAAGAAGCGAGACCTTGAAGCACCATGAGCACCCTCTTCCAGTTGGAGCAGCCCGCCTTGGGCACCTCACAGTAGAGGAGTTTGTGCTTGTCCTCCACAAAGATACGGGACACATGCATGCGGGTTATAGTCTGTTTGGTGGTTCCACTTGTGTATTTGGCACAGACCTCCCTCATCAGCCTCTGACGGGACAGCTGCACCTTAGTCAATCGCTCTGGGTTCTCCTTGATCTGGCCAGGAGGGTCAGCGTTCAGCTGCTGGACAAGCAGGCTGCTCTTAAGGAGGAGTTTACGGTGGCTCTTTGTGACATGGGCAGCAGTGATATCTTTGGGGTTGATTAGAGAGGAACGCTGGACCCATGGGAAGACTGGAAGCTGCACCGGTTGTGCAGGTCTAGGAAAGTTGTCTCCTGTTGGATCAGACTGTCTGTCATTGTCAGGACAATAAGGACACGGTTCCTGTAATTTAGAGAACAAAAGTACTTTTAGCAACAATAATAGTGTTTCTTCAAATTCAGGCACACCCTTGTGAAAAAGAAGTGTGCTCAATTGTATTAAATGTGCACTATAGTAAAAAATGCTGGGTTCTTTTTTTAACCCAAATGCTGGATTCAGCCTGTTGGGTTTTTTTTACCCAGGTGCTGGGTATTTTTTCTGCACACTAAAAAAAATTAGTAATTTTTTTTTTTTTTTTAACCCAAATGCTGGGTTCAGCTTGGTGGGTCATTTTATTGGGTTATTTAAAAAATAATAATTGTACCCATGTGATGGGTAGTTCCAAGCTGCTGCGTCCTTTTTAATGCTGGGTTATTTTTTCTAGCCAACCGCTGGGTTGAGCCTGTCTCCAACGAAACAACCCAGCTGCTGAGTAACAGTCAGATCGCGGGCTTTTTGAGTCCTCTAAAGGAGAAAGCGGTTCTCAGCACCGCCACCGCCGATTTGGTGCACTTCTTCAGTGAAATAAAGGTTTGTATACATTTTATTTCATTTATAAAGTCTTTACTGTGCTGTAAATTATATTATATTACGCTACACAACATAAGGACGAGATGTCAGTCAGATGTGTCAGCAGTGGTCATTTCGCATGATGGAAATGCCTTTTGCCTTGCATAACATTAACTGATTTCATTCGATATCATACTGAATTTAATTTAATTTGATGTTAAAATATGTTCTCTAATCTCAGTACTGTTTGTTAATGGGCAGGTTATGGAGTCAGTCACGGCATCTTTTAGCTACGAGTGAAATGCGAGGTTGGGGTCTGAAGTTCGCAGTTCCCCCCGCGAACAGCAGCCCTTCACCGGCTCAGATTTCAGCGACACACCAGCATGAGAATTAGCACTATTTTGGTGAAAAGAGATTACAGAGAACAGTTGAATACACTTAAATTAAAATGCTACTTTAAATGTTACATTTGTTTTCTAAAATGCTTGTTAAACGAGTTTAAATGTATGTAATATCGTAAACTATGTTGTATTCACCCAAACAAATTAAATTTGTCTTATATTTTTTCCATGGGTGTTCTTGCTTAATAATAAATGTTTATCTTTTGATAATTGCTGTTGCCTCTAGTAATTGATTTTTAATTCCCAGCACACTGTAAGTCAGCTAAATAATAATTTTTAAATAGTTGACTTCAATAAAACAACCCAGCATGTTGAGTAAAAACATTTAACCCAACGAGCTGGGTCAAAATAACCCAGCATGTGCTCTGTCCAATATTTACCCTGAGCTGGGTTGTCAAATAACCCAAGTTGGGTTGTTTTTAACCCAGCATTTTTAGAGTGTAGTTTACTTCAAATCCTAAAAGTGTATTTAAAAAAAAAAAGGCCACTTAAATGTACTTGTTTCTTACACTTAAGTGTACTTTTAAAAAGAAAAATAAATGCTCTAAAGAACTCTAAAGTTTATCTTATTGCATATAACATAAATGTAAACTGTATTTTCATTTATCAATATTAATTGCAATTAACATACGGTTAAGTGTTCAAAAACATTACATTAAATTTGCACCTAAATATATTCTTTTAAAGTATTATTTATTTGTGTAATAAGTACTCTAAAGTTTACTACTTTTTCACAGGGGTATTTATGTAACGGGCAGATTTTTATTCAACGTAACTTGGATTTATTCATTCATTCACTCTTTTTAAATAGATTTTTGTTTTGCCCTTGTCCCAGATCTAGACATTTATTCTTAAACTATAAAAAGCCATCATAAAAAATATGAATTTTATTTTGATACTGATCATCTAAACAATGTGAGAAACAATGATAAAGCATTTATTATTTATTGTGTAAAAATTACAACTGTCCCGGGGTTGTTTTCAAAAAGTGTGGATAATAAAAATAAAAATTATTTGTCTGTGTTTATGATACATAAATACTAGCTGGTGAAATTAGTAAGGCATTACCTATTTACCATTACAATTACGTATTTTATTCCAAAGTTAAGAATATCATTTCCACACAGTGTTTTCTCAAATAAAAGCATAATTTGATATGTGGTGGGAATTTATATGACTGAATCTGTATTCTCTGCTGGATATTGTTAGCAGACAAATTAAATAAGCAAATCATTCTAAATTAAATAATTAAGTGAGATTTTGAAAAGTGTATTTTCAGAGAGTTTAATTTCTAAAAGTCCACAGGACTAAAATGTTTAAAAATAAAATATGTCAACACAAAATAACTATTTAATGGGCTCTATAAGGTTGTTGTTGTTTTTTAATAAAGTCTTGTCTCTCCAGTGGCAGCCACCAAGTGGTGCCAGTGCACAGTAATTCCAGCAGCCATAGCACACGCCATGAAGCACTAATGTAAAACCTTGTGATCATTCAGACGAATAGGCTCACCTTTCTTATGGACTGTACTTGGGAGAATATGACCTTTGCACCTGAGGGAAAAGAAAGAGAGCGAATGTTAGGATGACATTTCAGTCTTTTACATTTTTACAACCAGTGTACCATGAAAGTGAACTTCTGGTTCAGGAAATTTCACTGAGCTGCTTACATTCAAAACGCAACCAACGAGAAGTTATAATGAAAGCCTCAGTCTGCCCTAATGTGCTGAAATAAAGAAGCATATGGCTCAGTGAAGTAGTGTCCTTGCTTGTGTTTTCCACCTCTTACATAGACAGAGTTTAGAGAAAGGGCGGGTGGACAGAGGGAGGTTGACTCCTGTGGTCGACTGCTAATGTTTATGTGCCACTGCTTGCAGCAGCTCCAGATGGTCTCCCAGCAGCCTGACAAACATCATCTTGACATCAAAGGTTATTGTGTATGAACAGAAGTGTGTGTCCAAAGATATTCAGAAACATATTCGTTAGTATTCTCCGTTGGAAAAATCTAAAGTCCGAAGTCTATGTCTACTTAATAGGGAACGAAACTGGAAGATGGCCTGAGTCATACTGATTCAGAGACTCTGGCAGAGACGTCTCAATGCTTTGACACTGACCTATGGAAGGGCAGAGAGTAGCATCGATTAGATGCCAAAGCCATGATACTTTTGGTTGATGGATTCATTGCAGGCACCGCTCTGACACGGGTTTGAGAGCTAGACCAGATTATTTACAGGCCAAGAGAAGAGGTTGGGGAGATGCCTGTTTTTGTGAGAGAGGCTTTTTCTACTGTAATCTGTTTGTACATTAAATCAAAACTGAAAACAACCATTTTTTAATAAGCGGGAAGAATGTTTTAACATTCTGAAGAACCTTTTCCCACTATAAAAAAACTTTTGTGCAATGGAAATTCTGTGGATGTTAAAGGTTCTTCATGGAACCATAAATGGCAATAATGAACCTTTATTTGTAAGAGTATATTTGAAGAGTTTGGTTCCAAAACGCTATAAATCCATTTTGATTAATTTGAGTAAAAATGTGTTTTCTTTACCAAGACCACTATTTTCTGTTTCTAACTTTCACATAGCGTCTTTGGGTTATAACAGGGGTTCTCAAACCTCTCCATGAAGTACCCCCAGCACTGCACGTTTTGTATGTCTCCCTATATCTGACACACCCACTTCAGGTCTTGCAGCCTCCACTAATGAGCTGATGAGTTGAATCAGGTGTGATAGATGAGGGAGACATGCAAAATGTGCAGGGCAGGGGGTACTCCAGGACAGGTTTGAGAACCACTGGGTTATAATAACATAAAAAATTCAAATCCAGATTTTGATTTTCAAAGACTTGTAATAAAAACTGATTATTTTTTCCCCAAAATGCAATAAATCCATTGAATCAATATAAAAGTTATTTTTCATATTGAGACGGTTAAAAATACACAACAAAGTAAGTTGATCCACATATGACAGCCTCTGAACTTGGTCAATACTAATCTTATTAATAGCTTACGTTACTTCCCCACCGCAGAAACCACCACAGGTTCATCAATGCCGTCAAAATTATTTTATTTTTTTTAGGGCTGCACGATAAATCGCATGCGATTGTCATGCGCATCTCATCAGTAAAGCCGATTCTGTGATTAGTAGTAAATCTCCATCACGTGCTTTCAGATGGAGCGGCATTTAAAGGGATAGTTCATCCAAAAATGAAAATTCTGTCATTAATTACTCACCCTCATGTCATTTCAAACCCATAAGACCTTCGTTCATCTTCGGAACACAAATTAAGAAAACATGACAGAATAACACAGCGGATATTTATTTATTTTTTGCGTAAAATAAAAAATGGACTTTTCAATAACGACAAGATACAATACTGATTTTGGCAGGAACTCTTTTTTTTTTAAATGGCGTTTATCATGTTTTGGAACCAAACTCTTAATTTTCTTTCGTAAAGCATTTCCTATTGTGAATGATTCATTGGTGCATGTTGTCACAAAGAAAAAAAGGTAACACTTTACAATAAGGTTCATTAGTTAACATCAGTTAACTACTTTAGTTAACATGAACTAAGCATGAACAATACTTCTACAACATTTATTAATCTTTGCTAATGTCAATTTCAACATTTACTAATGCATTATTAAAATCAAAAGTTGTGCTTGCTAACATTAGTTAATGTACTGTGAATTAACATGAACTAACAATGAACGACTGTATTTTCATTAACTAACATTAACAAAGATTATTAAATACTGTAATAAATGTATTGTTTATTGTTCGTTAATGTTAGTTGATACATTAACTAACATCAACTAATGGAACCTTATTGTAAAGTGTTACCGAAAAAAATATATAATTTAGCACCTTTACACAGAAAAACAGTTTTAAAAAAACGAGAAACCGCCCCTTATTCTTTCCCTGAAACTTTTCAGGTTCATGACATTTCAGGGCTCCGGTCTGCAACTACATCTGTCACAAATTGGTCACATGACCAAAAAATAAACATTTTCCAATTGCAATAATGTAAAATTTTGTGTGCGTTAATTTGCAGTTTGGTCACATCGGTGTTTCCTGCACACAACAACATCTGATTTGCTGCTGATTTGCAACCCTTAATAGTTAGTAACATTAGTCTGTTTATTGATTTTGATATTGAAAACGTAATTAAAAATCAATCAATTCCTCATGGCTAAAATCAAGCCCTGACCTGCACTTGGAAATTCATGATGTTACAGAAGTAAAATGGGTTGCTAAGTTTTTGACTGATTCATCAAAAGCCATCATATATTTCCCTATATTTTCATGTATAATGAATGCTAATAAAATCTGTTTAGTGTATGTAATTATAACAGACAAAAACTTGTCTTCACAAAGTTCTGGAAAACAATAAAGTTCATTGCACTGGCGCATAAACCTACAGCTAATCTGATGTGGAAGTTCCCTGTAATGAGGACGCTGTATACTGTAGGTTGTAGTTTCCCATAGATAACTGAGAGTATGAATTTCAAAGAGAATTTGCAAAATATTCATGGTGTTTCTTTTCTTTTATTCATAAATTCATAGAATCCTGCTGGTGAGCCGGTTTTATCCAGCACAATTTGTGTCATAATGCATTATACTTAATCTGGCGGCAATACTGTGTGCTGTGGTACGCTAGTGTATACGAGCATAAGGATCACCACATACCGTTGCCCCTTTAATCTAGCAAACTGTGCATAATTTGTGTCATGTAACCAAACCTATTCATGCCTATAACTGAGACATGCACATAAGAATCGTTTTTATGCTGTTTTTTGCATGTCAAAAATACATTTTCCCCACTGCAGATAAAAATAAATATTATTCAAGTCTAAAAATATGGTGAATCACCCATCTATAAACACATGTCAATTATTTGGCTAAAAATCCATCATGAATTATTAAATGAACCATTTTTCCCAAAACAATGTGGGTCGGGGTAAGTTGTGCCAGTGGTGTGGTTTATGAAAATGCAAATAATGTGCAACAAAAAGTGATCAAAATAGGTTTGTGCATTAATTCATTTAAATGTTTTTTTTACTTGAAATGTAAATTGTATTAAGACTTCCCAATGATTAATTCTTTGAAAAGTCATATTTCTAAAGCCCTGTTCAAAGGTGGGGTAAACGATTTCTGGTAGCCAATGTTGACATTTGAAATCACCAAAACAAACACGCCACAACTCCAAAAAGCCCCTATATTGATAGCTCCGCCCCACACATACGCACGCAACCCAGGCAACGATTATTTCTGTGAAACAAAGCAAAACCAATGTAACAACGTGTCTACACCGGACGCGGCGCGACAAAATACTATGGAACTCATTATAATCAGTGATGCTGTCTACACCATAGATATACAGTATATACTGTACATATCTATTGTCTATCTATTGTCTACACTGGATGCAGCGCGGCATGACACGACAAATCGCCGACAGAAAACTGCTGCTGCGTTCTATTTATGACGTATTGATTTTCAACGGTCGCTTTGTCGCGTCCAGTGTACTAGACAGACTTTAGCTGTTATGGTGTAAGTCACCTATCGAGAAGAAACAAAGCAACCTCGGCATCCGATCACAGGCCCTCCGCTCCTTGAGTTCTCTCCAGCGCTGGAAAGCTTAACCCGATATTTACACGGGTCCTACTTCTTGCCTTAAGCCTTCTTTTGTTCCGCAGACGTTTTCCTCTTTTGTTTTTTATCCGCCATCTCTATCTCGGCTCATGTCCATCCTGTGGACTGAACTCTCTCTCCTCCACATCATGAGTAGACACGCCCCTTACTGCTGATTGGCTACAAGTTTGTTTTGCTACTTGACCCGAATCAGTTTTCTAAAGCGTTTTTGAAAAATCGCTTACCCCACCTTTAATAGATGTTTGGAATTTCTGTTGATTGCAGACATCTCATTTAACTTAAGTAAAAAGTGGCACAACTTATTATTCCTCAATTCTGAGCACTTGCAAATGAACCTGCTACAATTCAGAGGTCTCAAAGTTCTATTGTAAAGTTATAAAATGAATATCAAGCAGCACAGAATGAAAGATAAGATGAAAATATAGTATGCACTTGCACAGATGCACAGACTTGGGAGATAGGGAGAAATAGGGAGAAAACATGACAGAATAACACGGCGGATATCACATTTTGCGCAAAATTAAAAATGGACTTTTCAATACCGACCAGATACAATACTAATTTTGGTGGAAACTCTTTTTTTTTTTAAATGGCGTTGACCCAACTGCAAGCAATTCTCCCACGCTCTATGGGTCTGCAAGATCTCTCACTTGAGTGGGAGGAGGTGAGACAGGGAGGAAAGTCGAAGGCAGGAGAGATTGTGTGAAAGATAACAGACGATCCCTGTAAACAGCTAAAGACTTTGCCACTGTGCATCTCCCTCCTGCTGCCACCGGCAGATCACTCAGGTCTATTAGATCAGAGTCTTGTCAGAGACGGCCGACATGAGGCGAAGCAGGAGAGCGACGCTGCTGCACGGTGGGAGCTGGCAGTAATGGAGCACTGCAGACAGCCTCGCTC